CCTCTAATGCCGGGGGTTGAAACCCCGGGAACTAGGATGAAAGATCATTTAGGCCCAAATTAACTTTCCCATTCTAAAATGAATATGTACTTTAGGGTGCCGCGACGTTAGAACGTAACGTGTTAATTGGCTGCGTTTCGTGCTCTTAAGTAGCTGAAAGATAAAGCTTAGGAACGTTGATGCAAGCCAGGTGTCTGAATCCCAATGAATGCTGTTTGTTAACTGTCCTCTTTAACAGAATACTCTGACAATTAACACAGCCTTATTTATCACTTAAATTGAGAAATACCTTCACAAAGTGTCCCAGCATCAGTATCTCCCGTCAGCAACAGAAGCATGAGCCTGGTTCAAGCTGTTCATAGACGCTACCTAAATGTATGTACACACAAGGACATAAGGGCAGGTTTGCTCTAATGGAAGCTTTGGAAATGTACAAGTCTTTGACGAGGCTATTTTTTAAAAATGTTAGTATTTAAACATGCAGGAAAGGACCTGGATCTTTGAAAGACACAGACTGCCAAGTAGCAATCATACCTCCCAAACTCCTTGTCTTACTATTTACAGGTTCCCCTAGCTTGAAACTGAACACATCAAAAACCTTAGTAGTTGGCATTGGTATCTGCTATCTATTTACTAGTGAGCAAAGAGGTTTCCAACGGTTTTGATACCAAAATTGTAGGCTAATCTACTTGATTTTAAAAAGGAGACTGTAAAACAACTTTTGTGTTCAGATATTTTTCTGACAAAGCCCTGCTTAACTCAGCAGTTCTGTATTAGGGATTGAGTAGCCGGTTTATGGTTTTAGTGTCTTTTTAATATTTCTTTTTCAGGCCAAAGCCATTCAACAGACTGCAAGTAATACTACAACATTTGGTAAGAACAGCATCTTGTTTGACCGAGCTGGAAGTTTTTAGGACTCTTAACTCCCAAAGACAGACATGCAACTTGTGTCTGTTCACAGCAGTTCTGAATGCCATCCTTTATTGCTGGGCATAACACTGCCTACGTCTTTGAGCACTTGTTACGAGTTTCTGTTAATACTGTAAATTAAAAATTATTGTGGCGTTCTCTACTTTTATAGTTATTTTCTATGTTAACCTCTGTATATTCCTTAAATGTAATTCAACTGTGAGTTTGAAATCAGTTAGGAAAATAGTTCAGTGATTTGTTCTCTACTGTTAAAAGTTACTTACAGACAAAGCAATGCGTACCTTTGGGTTTGCAGTGCTGAAGTGCCAGTAGGGACATATGGAACTATCATTGTTATAACTGTTGCAGGTATTTTCAGAATGCCAGTCATAAGGAAACATGGTTTTGTGTTTTATTGTGGCAGTTTTGGTGGTGTGTTTTTGAATGAACTCAATTGTCACTGTGTAGCTCAAAAACTTGTCTGAGGTTTATTACTCTCGAGGACTCAAACATAAGGTGTTTTTAAAAAAACTGTTTAGGAATTGCGAATAAAACCTGAAAAACAGTGGGAAAGCCTTAGCATGCAATTCAAAATGCATGCTTTGTGATCTTAAATAGTATGTTTTGAGACTATTTCCATAAACACTCTGGTATGTATGTATTTCAAGGTATCTAACTGATGACATTTGCTTTATTTATTTGTATTTGCATGTACAGAAGATGTCTAAGCAAACAGATTCAACAGCTGACGTCTTGTTGGAAAAGAAAGGAGGTGCAGGAATAATAACTTTGAATAGACCCAAGGCTCTCAATGCACTCAATATTTCTATGATCCGACAAATTTATCCCCAAATAAAGGTTAGTAGCTCCACATCTACCCATCCACTATACATACGTATCCAAAACCAATTTTAAAATTCAGTCTGACATTTCTTAGTGTACTGATTTAAAGAATGAAAGTCTGTGTGAGTGCATTGGCCAATGAGCCATTTATAGTATAGGAAAGAACAGTTAGTTTTAAATAAGTTATAAAGAGAAGACATGTCAAAGAAACAAGCTGTCAGACAAAGTTAAATTTAGCATCTGGATAAATAGAGACACCCATATTAAAAGTAGAACTGAATTAAAAGCAAGAAGAGCTCATGGTTTATATATTCCTTTTGGCAACACCCAGCTGGTCAGTCAGCATACATGAATTCCAAGATGAACAGTTGTGTTGCCTCTTGGTTGGGTGCATGTTTTGCGGGGAGGCTGCATGGCTGAAATAAAAGATACAAGCCATTTGAAAGCAAGGTGCTGTCAGTGTCGCTCCTTTAAGAAAATCTTTATGGATTTACAGGCACTGTTTTTACAAACTAGTCAAGTAATGTGAAATTTTAAGCATGCAGGTAGTCCTTTTTAATTTAATGATACTATTTATGGTATGCTCAAAGTCAGACTTACTAGATACCAGTATTTGTTGGATACTTCGGTATTTTGGTAGACAGGCGTATTGCAAGTTTATGCGTTCTTTGAAGAACATTTAAAGACAGAAATACTTAACCTGTAGTGATGAGTACTGGCTTTTATTTGAAGCACAACCTTAAAAAGTGCCGTAATTTTAAGTAGATTTGCTGGTATACAGAAATGTCCTGTCTCTTTTGTCTGGGTACTTACTTGAATAAGGGATGTATAAGCATAGTTTAAAGGGTAGGGGGAGGGAAAGCATGTAAATGACATCTTTTTCTCAATATGGTTGCACCACTGCTGGAGTCTTGTACCACTGTATTTAGTTCAGGAAAAAAAACACCCCAAACCCATACAACAACATGGTCATTGTACCTAGCAAAACGTCTGTGCACAAACTGATTTATTTCAGTCCTGATTAGCATTAATCGTAGTAATTTTGACAAAATCCATCAACAATTTAGTTGCTGTTTTCCTTGCCATGCATCTCAGATTTACACAACTTTCATGATTTGGCCTGAGACATTGTTATTGTATCTTCCGTGTTCCCACTGGGATTTATGTTGGACCCTGTTCTAGGGAGCGCTGCCGTTCTTCAAGGTGGGAGCTCTTCACAGGTGTTTTTCTGCAATGCATGAGGCAATGCTGCTGCTGTCTGATGTCAAGTTTATATAGGACACAGGAGCAGCAGAAAGAAATTTAACTCGCAAACAATTTTAAGAAACTATTAAAGTATGGTTTGATTTGCTTTTTGAAAAATTAAAATAAGAATTACAGACAGCATACAGAGAAAGCATTTTTTGCACAGCCTTGAATCTTACATGGAAACATTTACTTCTTTTTAGACTTGGGAGAAAGATCCTGAAACTTTTCTAATAATTATAAAGGGAACTGGAGGAAAAGCTTTTTGTGCTGGGGGTGACATTAGAGGTAAGGACTAGAGTCACTTAAATGTTTTAAGATATCTTTGCCAGTTATTACTTTGCGTTGATTTCCTTTATTTACTGTGACGTGGGTAAGCAGAGCCCTGCTACCCAAAAGCAAACGAGATTATTCTTTTAACACCTTGATGCGCAATGCTATTGAAGTTATTTGTGAGGAGGCAGCTCTTGGAACATTGTATGAGAGAGTAAAAATTGGGGTTTTCAGAATAACTGGTAGTAGCAGCCAGTCATTCGTGGGAAAAGAGGGTCCTTGTCTCTACCTTTTCCTTCCCAGATTTTCATCAATGACAGCTTCGTGACAAGAAATTTGAAGAGTCCTATTAAGTAGCTCTTACCATAAGATAATTTGTGTTTGGTGTTTGAGCTGGCTGTGTAGAGAGCTGAAAATGGTTATCAATGTATCTGTGATTATTTTGTACCTAAGAACTGTAGGAAACCTCCAGACTGTGAAAATTAGCAGTTGTTTTAAATTTTAGGTAAACAAGCAACACAGGTTATTATCAAATGATACTTTGCTCTCATTGGCTTCTCATTTTTAGTATCCAGAGTCTTCAGTATAATCAGTTTTAAGTGACTGTCCTATATATGGATATGAAATATCACAAACAAGACTACCATACGTTAGGAGCGGTTCCATGGCGTAGAAAATGAACTGCATGCTCACATGTACCTGACAGTCTCCAGCATAATGAAATTGACACAAATTTGAAACTTTGCACTCATATTTAAGTTTGAGCAAATCTTCTCAACTAAAATAAAACAGGATTAAGTTGCAGCTTGATTGGAAAAAAATGTTTTATTTTTATTTGCATTTTCATTTAAACTTACAGTTATCTTTAGACTTTTTATTTCTCTTAAGCCATCACAGATGCAGGAAAAGTTGGAAATAAGATGACACAAGATTTCTTCAAAGAAGAATATACCCTGAACAATGCCATTGGTATGTTAATAGCAAGTAAAGTTTTCAGAATAGTGGCTTTGAATGTAAATTCGCTTTCTCTCTTTGCTAATCTATAAAGAATTGAGATAACATAATAGAAGTTCTTTTAGGGTTTGGGTTTTTTTTTTTCTACCAAGTTCAATATCACTAATGTAACATATCTCATTTTTATACCTTGCATGCAGAATTTGTTTTGTTTAGACTACTATGATAGCTTATCCCATCCCATTGTTCTGGGTAGTTACAATTCAGCTATAGATTAATTAAGTCTTAGATGCAGACAGTGCAGTTCTGCACTAAGTATCATTGATCTGCTTCAAAGAAGACTTGAGGTAAAAATAGATGCATGGAAAATCATTAGTATTCAGTCAGAAAGCAGAAGATCAAATTATGTTAAAGCTTTTCATTTAAATAAACTGCATAAATTAAGCTAGGAGTTGAATGCCTTGGTTTATTGCAAAGAACCTAGGAGTATGTGGTCTTAAAATAACTACCAGTAAAGACACTGAGTAAAGATGTTTTCAGTTACCGTGCATGGAAAGATTCAGAAGTCCACTCTGAATAAAACCACTGCCTCATAGTCAGTGTTTTCAGGTCAGACTTCAAGTTCGGGCAGATTCATCAGTTAAGCTGATGTCACAGGACCGTTGTCTTGAAAAAAAACGTACAATTTTTTGGTTGCTTTACATTTCTTACAGGCACTTGCAAGAAGCCCTATGTGGCACTTATCGATGGCATTACAATGGGAGGGGTAAGTTAAGTACCTTAGTGTGGTATCTGACATCATTTGTTTTAAAGTAATGTAGTATTCTGTGCTCAAGTTGAATGAAGCACACACATGACATTTCAAACATTTCAAGAATAAGGATCGTAATGTGAACCTTTGTCTCTTGCTTGTCAGGGCAGCTTGCTGCTCTTCTAGTGATTCTGCTGTTCTTCCATAGCTAGTGCAACTGCTTTCTCTGAGGATCTGGCAGTTGTGTTAAAAGAGCAAAATCCTGTCACTGTAGGAAATGCCCCTTGCAAAGGTTTTCAGAATACTGAAGTGTGAGTTTGTAGATCACACAAGAACTGAATTTTCCACTCAAAATGTATTAAGAAATTGAACTATATACAAATACAATTAAAGGACAACTCCATGAAAACTTGTGAAAATGATATTCTAAGCTTTACTTTAACAGGCAGACATGAAACCTGTATTTTTCCAACACATTATCTGGAAGTGCATCTACTTTCTCACCTCTGCAGTACTCCTGAAACATGAATTACAAGATCCTGACTGTCCCTTACCCCCGCAAGGCCACACTTCATTACTAAAGCAACATGGAAAGACTCCATCCCATTGCTAGTTATACTCAGTGTTAATAATTGCTTCAGCAGTTGGTGGCTCTAAACACTATAAGTAGTTAAGAGGCCAGTACTGTGCTTTTCTACATGCTGAAGTGCTGTTCTCTTCAGCTTGACATCCTCTGGATACGTTTGCACTGTAGTGGGGAGTAGAATACAATAATCTTAAGTTATTTTGAACAGTGAGTTTGACAGTAAAGTCTGCCTGCCATATTGTCGCTTACATTTATCTTCGTGCATGTCAGTATGATATGGGTGTATAATCTGTTTAAATTAAGTTTGTCAAAGACAGGATGATACAAGTGGAACAGTACATGATCCATCACTCATCATGATTCCTCCCTTTCCATCTTCCCTTACTCATTTCATTTTGTGTGTTTTGGTTGTGGTCTTTCCCGCTTGTGATCTAAACATGCCATACCCCTCTTCCTCTTTGCTTCTCTGCTACCAAGCCCCAGATCTCAGACCTCTAGAACAGCCCTCAAACTGGAGATGGTCGTACCATTATCTTGTGCTGTTCCTGTGTGGGAACACTCTGTCCTACTGTATTCATTCCTACTATTCATCAGAACTGCATCCATACAAAGGAGTTATTCTAATAATTGTATAATTAAATGCTCTGTTTTAAATCACTCAGATGTTTGGTTCTACGTTTTTAACACAATAAGGTCATATTTCATCCCTTTCATATGCCCAAGATCTGGCTATCTTAGTGGCTACAAGTGAGTGGGAGCTAGAAACATTTGTCACTTATGAACTACAGTAAATGCGTTTAAAACAAATTTACGTTAAAACCATTGGCTTTAGAAGCAAGTGATTTTAGCTTTGATTAAAATTCAAGGTACACCTCTTAAAAACTGCAGTTTCACTATAGTCAATGAATGAAAATGCAAACAGGTCAGTCTCAAACTTGCTCAAAAAAGCAGCACTCTGTACATGGAGTGCTCTGTTCTAATTTAAAATAAATTGAAAAATCCAAGTGCGTTAGAAACTCAGTTATGATGTGCTTAGGTAGTAAAAGTTGCTACGGATGCACAGATACCATAAATTTGTGATGGTAAAACTTGGAATTGTATCAAAGTAAACTAGTTCCACTTTAGCATTGGTGGCTAGAGGCTGGTAGATGGCTTTCTCAAGAGCTTAATTAGCCAACAGATGGGGCTGTGGAGCTTGATTTCTTGTCTGTGCTCTGGTACTTCATCAAAAATTGATATTCAATATAAATTTATCTGTTCTTTTTTTTGTACTTAGGTTCAAGTAACAAGTATGTTTGATGAAGCAAAGATGACTGCATTTTACTAAGCAACAGTGAAACAAATTATAAATACCACATTTACTGGTAAAGGGCAATACAGTAGAACACTGGGTGTGTACTCTCATGATGCTGAAAACTACTATTCAGATTATTTTAGTTGACTTCTATCCATACACTTTTATTTCCTTGAAATGAAATACCTGAACAGTAGACCAAAAAATGCAGAGTATTTATACAGTCTTTTTAATATTATTGTTTCTAAATGAGGTCCTGAGTTTGGGTTTCTGGCTGTAGAAAACTTCCAGTCTTTTCCTGAAGTCAATGAATGAAAGCATGCTGTATAACTTCAGTGTAACTCTTACGGTTTTAAATAGGGCTTTGGCACAAAATACATTACTCTGTCATTGCTCTCTCTAGCAGCCTAAAAGGCGTAATTACAATGTATTTTATACCTGTTTCAGAGCCAAATAAAGTACACTAGCCAGATTGGATAGGTGGTTTTAACTTTATGTAAAGCCTACTTAAAACTGGCATATTGCCAAAGCAGAAGTACATAATTTTCAGGAGCAAAGGCCATTGCTTTTAGTTTAGGGAGGAATCTGCAACAGTGTGTACAAAGTACCCTCCTCCTTAGTATCATATAGAGCATGCGTAATTTAGAAACTTCCTGAGCTAGACCGTATTTGAGAACCATGGTGCTAAATAACCATCAGTAGTTACACTCACCTGTCTATTCATATAGTACTTTGTGACATAATGTAGGTTTGGTCTTCAGAAAAGTCCTGTGGCAACAGGCTTCACAGTTGAATTTTGTGCTTTGTGAAAAGTAATTTGCTGCTGTTTCAGGCCTATCATCTAATATTACTGAATGCTTATGTGTTTAATTGTTAATAAGGCCAGAATAGGCCCCTCAGTTTGTATTTTTTTACTGATGAGTAAAGACTGTTGCTCAAACAAAGGAATTTTTGGCTTTGGACAGTTACATGCAGTATTTAATCCTTTAATCTGACCTCTTGCATGATGTGTTTGCTAAGTTTGTTTAGCAAGTTAGAGATTTATAGAGGCTATACCTTTATGTTACACTTCTTGCTTTAACAATTAATGCCTGAGTTTTAGGATGAGAAAACATCTTGTAGAGCAAGTAGATTTTAACTTATATGGCAATGTGCAACATTTTCAGTATAGAAATGAAGTTGGATTGAGTTGCCAGCTCTTCTAAATCCTTTGCAAAGCCCTATGTTTGGAGTTATTCTGAGAATTCTATTTTCTAATCTTGATTTAGGTTTATGTTTAGGGAGAGTAATAGGAAGTTGGAACTTTAATATAGCTCATAATTTAAAGAGATATTGCCATCTCCAATTCCTTCATATTCTAGGGCCCAGTTTGCAAGAGCGATAGCAGTACACAGTACTGACTGTTTCATTCTCTCTTGAGTAGGGAAGGACCTCAGGTGTATTGGAGCATGAGAAGACAACCTATTACTTGGGTCTTTGGGTTCATGAGTAGCTTTCCATTCATTTTGTCAACACATCTAGCAGTACAGGTTTTTCTAGGCAAGGTATTTTACTTAAACTGAGAGTCTACATCTAAGTTACATGGAGCATCTTCAAGGTTCTCGTAGTAGAATTTTTTAAGGAACTGTTGAGTCTATGTTAGTCACTCAGGTAGTAATGTCAAATAGGTTAAACTTTAGGCTACACAGGAGTATAGACCTGAGAGGAGCCTTGGGATTATTCTTTTGCACTTGAAGTAGGGTTAAATATAGCTAGATGATTACTTAGCAGGTTTTCACCTAATGTGTTCAGAACTCTCCAACATCAAGAGTTCTGGGTTTTGTAGGTATCCTACCCAAGTGCTTAGTTATTCTTTTAAGGTTCCCTAGTGTCTAATTTAAGTCTTTAGCATGTGTAATCAATATAGTCCTGTCTTAGTCACAGCTCTCTAAGAACATTTTGAGATACTTGCATTCCTTGCTTCTAGTCAGCTCTCTTTAATAGGGATAAATATAGCTACTCAGCCTTTTCTATAGATTAAGTCTTTCAGTCTTCTTACAATCCTCTGGAATCTCTCCAATTTTTGTACTTTAAAGTTCATTACCAGAGACCAGACAATATTTCAGCTGGAGGATTCATCAGCACCAAGTAGAGCAGAATAATTATTCTCCATATATTGCAGAGATGTTCCGTCACAAATAGCCTACGTAAATAGCAGCTTCTCAAAGCATCAGATGCTAGGAGGTCACCACTTCTAGTTATTCTCAAAGCTGTTACTCTTACGTGTTTCCTTCTTGCATAACGTTCCATCACAGTACCTTTCTTTATCTCTAACCTTTTACCAATTTTTAAATCTTCTCCCTTGAACAGAACTTGTTTGTCAAAGAGTCAGTCTTGTGGAGCTACCCTTTTCCTCAAAGGCAAAAAAGAATACTACTACTTTTCTCCCTCAAGAAGCCTGACTACCATTTCAGCTGGTGTTGCCTTTGACAGCTCCACCTCATCAATCTGACTAGGCTTCCCAGGTATATTCAATCCAGGCTGCGTGGGTATACTTCAGCCCTTTGGTGCCTGCCAGCCTGATACCTTCAGTAGTTCTTTTTTCAACAGCATTGCAGCATTGTTTGTATTAAGTTCATGGTTGCTGTAAACCCCTGAAAAATATCTAGGCATTTGTTCTGTAGAAAACATACTTGTGATCTCTGCCTTTTATTTTGCTTTGTTAAATGTAGTTATTCTCATTTTGTTAGTTTCTATCTGATCTCCAAAGTGACATGGTTTTGAATTCTGATTCGAAGTGTTTGCCTTCCCAGAAAGTAATCTGTAAATTCTAGAAAACCTTGTTATTTCATCATCCAAGCAGATACTGAAAATATTAAATACGACTTCATTTGTTATTGGCTTCTGTATGACCTCAGCTAGGGTGCCCTCTCAGTTTGATTGCAGACTGCTGGTAACTCTGAATATACTTTCAGATGATTGTGCCTTTCATTTCATAGCCAGATCATCTGGGCTGTGTTCCCCTAGTTTGTTGATGAGAGAAAATAGTGCTGTGTATGGGGAAGCATCAGAAATGTCACGATTCAAAACGTGAAGATTTTCAGACTGCCGGTTACTGAGTGAGTGTCATTTTAACCAGGGGGTTATGTAGGAGTT